AGCGCAGATAGCCCTCGTGTAGCTTTGCGCGAAATTCAAAAACAAACAAACAAACTTTCTTATAGTTGTAACTCAAACTTGCAAGAAATGCGTAAAGGAAATATTACAAATACAAAACAAATATTACATTTGTTTACAATGCATGAACAAATATTCAAATATTAAGAACACAAATTACATAGTCTAAAACGCTGACAATAACTTTCCAGCACATATATGAAAGAAAGACACTTCGTTGATTCTGGCCAGTAAATACAATCACGTTAGATGAGGGGTAGGATGCATAACGTAATATATTTGGCAAAATAAAATACAAAAATACGCTCCTTTATAAGAACTTCATTTGACATCCATTCAAAATAATTTTAGTTTAACAGACTGGTCAAAAATTGTTCATAAAGTGATTAACGAACTATACATAAAACTGACAAAAAGTCTAGCATGTTTAAGCTTCTGCTAAAGTTTTGTTTACTTTTCTTTCAAAAGAAAATTTAATTAACATTTGTTTCAACAATGTAGTGTTCTTTCATTATTTAATTTTTGTAAAATAGAACAAAGATGATGATTTTCATTCTCTCTGACCAATTGTGAATTTTGAAACACTTGTTATTGTCATTCTCTAAACTGAACAATCATTTGAAAGACATATTTGTGTATGGATGAACGTTGGTTTGTAAGTGCACATTTTCTCCGTAAATAGACTAAGTGTTAACTACTTAGTCAAACTGATACATACCTGTGACGTAATGATGTCTAATATTACTTTAAAAGAATTAAATAAAATTTTCAAATACCTATAAGTAAGTATTCCAAGAAAAACGTATAAATGACGACAGAATAATATACAAATCGTATATTGTATGTCTTTTAATACATCACCCCTCCCCTAGAGGCACAGTGATATTATGCAGACTTACAACGCTAGAAACCAGGTTTCGATATCCGTGATGGGAAGAGCACAGACAGCCCATTGTGCAGCTTTGTGCTTAACTTCAACCAAACACAAATTGAATATATCATATTATTTTGCATTTATCAGAGAGACGCTCTCTCATTTTATTTATTTATCAAAATACCTAGTGATGCTTGAAAGCTATACCTTTTGCCCAAGCAGTGCTTGTACTACTTGGTTAGCTACATCATCCAGGCAATGCTCATACTGTAGTCTCTGCTCTTCGTTCTCCAGAACAATTGAGGCGTTCTCCTGCTCCAGAAGCTGTATGCGTTTCAGAAGCACGCGATTAATAGAAATTTCTTTTTCCTCCTCGGATTTTTCTTTGTTCTGTAAATATGTCAAAGAGAACGGCATTTGACTCCTGAAGTCAAATATTTTCATTTGTAATGGATGCTATCATTGTGTAGACAGTAATAAGGGTCAACTTACATGCAAGGTTTGTTGTTTTCTGAACTGCTCCAACAAATACATAAATAATTCTGAATGCATACATGAAGTTAAATATTGCCTAAATATAGACAGAACGAACAACAAAAGCTATTTTAATTTGTTTCTACTAAACTTCAAAGAACTAAATAAGTTTACGCTTCATGAATAACTTACGACTTAAGTACATTATAGTTGTTTTTCCGCAAAACATGCTAACTTAAGAGAAGGCATTAGCTTATAAGTGAACTACAATGAATATTCCTGTTAAAGCTAGTTTCATATTGTCAAGTTCATAGCTTAGTTATACATTGTATATAGATATACGTTAACTGTTGCTTATATTGCTTTTCGAAAATTACGGAAAATATGACGTCAATTACAGTTTATATAACTTATGATACCTAAATATCATAGAAAGTAGAAACTAGGTGTATTTTTCATTGTATGTTAAAAAATCATACCTTGCATAACTTCAAAGCTAATTGCAGCTTATAAAGTTATAAGCTAGTTTGTGAGTTTCTTACAAAATTGCATGATGTCACAAACCAAAAGTATGTACTTTTTTGTCAAAATACAGTAAAGAAAGAAAACTAGCATTTTAATAAAACTCAGGTTAAATGCTGTAGATGATCTATAAGCTAAGTTTGTTTTAATTGAATTGCAGCTTATAAAGTTGGCAACGGAACTACGGTATGCAAACACGATAACGAAAAAATATATAAGAAATTCACATTTATTTACAGCTTAAAACATTGTAATAATTCGTATCTACTAATCGTTGGCAGTTGTGATATCTAATATATTTCAAAAGAAAGTAAAGTGAACCTTAATTAGGGCTAGGATGGAAATTCAATCATAAATCATTTGTAAAAACGTATTCAAACCAGCTACTTCGGTCTCTAAAAACTTTATTTCAAACAACGTAATATTCGCCCTAACTTTTACATAAAAAACCCAATTTGTTTTACGTTTCGTACATTCATAGATCAACATAAAAACCCACTCCATTCGACTTAAAACAATATCTTAATGAAAGCGATATGACTATAAGGGACATAAGCACTGTTGCCTACAGTACATGAGTGGTCTTACTCGACGTTTCACTGATAAGCATAACTTAATATAAATTTGTTTTTCAAAAATACTAATGTCGATTATAATTAAAACTTACATTTTCTTCTTCTTTTCTTTGCATTTCATTCACTAGCAGTAAATTTCCTTTCTCAAGTGTTGCGATGTAAGCCTGATATTTCCTAATTTTGCTCTAGAATAAAACAGTAACAAGTAACTCTTAATAAAAGCAGGAAATACACAAAATGTAACATCTCTGTATTCTCAAATTTTTGCCCCAAGATATTTGTATAATTAGATTTGCTTTTCTCGTCGATGTATTAACGTACTCAAACTTTAGATCAAAAGAAAATGCTAATTACTTTCCTTAAATCGTATAGTGAGAAGTTTTAAAATTGGTAATCTATTTAGATAAGAAAGTAATTAGCTAAGCCACGCTTAAAAATCTCATCAGAAGATTTAATGATTAAATATAATAATTACGACACGACAATTAAGAAATTTACATGAGATAAATTAATTATTTTTAGTCATTTCTAAACAACAGATTTTTCACCAAAACAACGAAAACAATGTAGAATAACACGAGATACAGTTAGTATAAAGTGTGAAATTTTCGGACTTAAATTGTAGACTTTCGACGTTACTATTCATACCTCGTACTTTAAAGTTATCGATGTTCTTTCGTGTCTTAGTTGATCCAGCTGAGATTTGAAATGCAGCAGACTTCTGACAATGTCTTCCATCCTGTAGCAAATACATCAACATTTTAACGTAAAATTGTTTTCCACTCATATTTTTTATTCAATCCAATACATTTCAAACTTCTGTGTGTATATACTTATAAAAGTTAAGTTCATTATTTTTGAGATTCTTAAGCTATTATCTAAACAATTTTCACAAGTTTAGAAAATCTGTTAAAACTGCGGGTGTTAGATTGTTTAGTATAATAGCAAAAAGCAAAGAATAGTTATTCTTGTAATATCATTCTATTATTTGATTTAAATCATACACGCTTAATTAATTCATGCCCTATTTCAATAAAGACAAATGCTGTTTGTATATCTCTTCACAAGTGTATTACTTGTGCATGTTGCAGGCTAATATTGTAAAGATGATTGCAGTGCTCAAAGGGAATGAAAAATTGTGTTCTTAACTTATGCATGAATCTATATAAATATAATAGTACTGTCTGTTGTCTGTCCATATAACTACTGGAGGTTCATTAGGTTCATGCGGGGGTACATAAAAATTTTCAATTTTGCATTTGGCGTTTTACCACTACTTCGCCCCCTGTTGATGGATCTTTACAAAATTTGGCATGAAGGTTTGTTGGGTCCATGCAAGGATACATACGGTTTCACATTTTATGTTAAGCAGTTTTTATGGGCATTTCTGTGTTTTTACAATTACATATAAGAGAAGCAACTTTTCATGACCTCACATAAAGTTTCATTAATCATGAATTTACATAACTTCTGTCTCCAGCTAGTTAAGAAAGACTGTGCAGAATTCACATCCACAGATTTCATATTAGGTATTGTTAGCTATAATAAAATCAAGGAATAATCGCTTGAGTTTGTTGCTTTCATTTAAAGTTTAAACTGAAGAACAAAAACATAAACTGGCTTTCCATTTCTGAGTAAGTTACGGAATAATGAATACATAAATAATAGTTCCCACAATATATGATAAATTACAAAACAAAATCAGTAATATTTACTTATAATTTGCTTATTTAAAATCCCTAATAAAATAAACGGAATTTCCTGGTGCTCTTTCTTGACTATTTGCACCCACCGGTCGCCTTGGTGACAACATAAGAGAATATAATATACACCTCAGGGATATAAAAACTCCCGTGAAACCTATATATCTTATTTTGAACAATATTTATAGTATTATCTAACATCGAAGTTTTATGCATGAGAACTCTTTTTGCTTTCTCTCTTTAAGTTGGAGCTCGGATAATCCAAGGGTTTAGTCCTCACTGAAAAATCTCTGTTGGTGGCACCCTAAATCCTCTGAGGAACGCAACCAGGATTTTTACTAGCTTATAGTGACTAGTGCCCTTGAATACTTTTTAAATAAATGCTTATTGTTACACGCGGTGTCTTATGATTTATTTTGAGAAAAAAAATTACCTTTGTAAGTCTCGCTGGAGCCTGACCAGATGAGCTTTACATTGAGTACTCTCTGACTGAACTTCTTTAAGTCGTAATTCCGCATCTTGACGCAACATTTTTTCTCTGCCAAGTTTCTTGCTTACAGTCGCCTGACACGCAGAAAAAAGTAATATGTTACTGCCTTAATATCGGGAGTTTATTTTTAAAAAGGTACTTTATTTTTATAACATCGATAGCAGTTGGATTGTTTCAAACAGTGATTTTTCAGAATATCTTTATTTTGAAATATTTCACCGGTCGCATTACCATCGAAAATATATGCGATCTTTTCTGATTATTACTGATTATATAGTATTTTATGCAGTTTATGATACTAAAAAAATTATTATAGCACATAATTAATATATTAGATCGTGTAAATGAGAGGTGATTGATAGAGGAAAAATAAATCAGTCCATTATTGTTACGTTCACACGCTTCTAAACAGTTAGTGTACAATAACGAGATGGAAACTTCAGTATCTATTTGTTTTACAACTTTCGTACAAAGTTACATAAAAGACATTTTTCTGTAGATAACAGTCCCAAATAATAAACTGATAGACAAGAGTCAACAGTACCCATCATAAGCTCTTGTGATACTCTTCTTTGACCTAATAATAATAATACCTGACTGTCACTCTTATAGCGCATATACTATTCCAAAGTGCGGGGTGCGTTTGTAGTGCAACAGGACCCGAACAACGAGCCTTTGGATTAGTAGTCCGGCAATGACTATCTTTGGTCAACCCCAGCCCATTCAGTGTCACTATGTTCCTCTTAGACGCTGTCATAGCTTATTAAGTGTCGCATGTTTCTTTAAGTCGCTGTTACGACCCATTCAGTATTTAGTATGTTCCTTTTAGTCGCTGTAACTACCCATCCTGTGTCTGATATGTTCCTTTAAGTCGCTGTCACGCCCCATTAAGTGTCTGATATGTTTCTCTTGGTCACTGCCATGGCCTATTCAATGTCACTCACGATGGAGCGAGTTGCACCACCTTTGTTAGAAAACTTCCCATTCCAGATGTATCAACGTTCCAACTGAATCATGTTCAAGATGAGAGAATATTTACGTAAAATATTATTATAAAAATTTCAAGGTAAAAGATTATCTATCGGTATCGTTTATTTGGGATACTTGTCACACATTTTCATTTTTAGGCCTTACTACTTTCATGTCTTGTTAAACGTTCTTTTTCATAAGTTGACAGGTTTTGGTATCTGTAACCAATAACCAAAGATTATGGTGCGTTACGTTAGCCGTATTGAATGTCCTTATATCGTATTAAGTAAACATGTCGCTGACTGTTGATGTTCATGAACGGTCTACTGATGCAGAAATATAGTTAAACAATAGGTTTTTTCTCATGTGCAAAGAATGCTTCTACAGCACAATAAGCCCCAAAGCATAAACATAACTTATTACAAATTTTACAGTAAACGCAATAAAATTAAAATATGCATATCACATCACCATCGTGATTTACTGTCAAATCGAATATTCAACTTAAATATAATATTTGTTTTTATTCAATTATGTATCGAAGGAAAATAATTGTATATTTTGCAATAAGAAAATGTATAATGTTATAATGTAACTAAACATAATATATTTACATAGTTTAACAAATATCTATAAACATAGCATGTTAATGGCCTAGATGTACATAAACTGTATGAATGAAGACTTTCTTCTGTCCTTCAATTGTTCATTGGATAAAACAGGAAATTAGAAAAAAAAACATTTCCGCTAAATCTTTCCGTATTTCACGAAAAATCAATAGTCATGAGAAAGAACGACCTTTCTGTGTTTTTTTTTTGTCGTGTGTAGTATTATTTTGTTTTCTGGTACTAACTATGGTAGATCGTCATGGTTTTCCAATTATGTATACATATACATACTTAGCGTTAATAATACTTAAAATTTAATTTACATTTCGGTATAGTTTACGTTCGTGGAGTATAACTACTTCACTCGGTACTCCATAAAACGTAGGACCCGGATGAACTAAAAGGAGAATTATTTTTCCACTAGATATGTGACTATACCTTGCTATTGAAACTAGCTGTTTAAGCGCTAAGTCACTTGAAATTCCTTTTTATAGCTGTGCATTCAGAAGAACACTGTGCTGTCACTAGCAAACTTTGATTTATTAGCTTAATAAAGAAAGATCTAATGACTGCATGAAAAATCATGGTCTACAGCAAGCGATCTTAAGTTAATACTCAAACTAACACATAAATTGTTCATATTACTAAAGCCCGTATAGTAATATTACTTTATGACGTTTATCGATTTCGAAATTAATTTTGAACTAGAAGAGAAGTATGGAGGTTGAGGGAGATATTAATACACTTACGATGTCCTATTCCTCCAACAGCCGGTTAACACTGAAATATGCATTAACCTATTAAATTGTAATATAGAACGGTAACAAATCGGCACAACTGCTCGCACTAATTTTGTTTGTGTCTGCGTATTGCATGACATAAAATGTATCTAATAAGTTATTTGGTATATTAAAATAAAAGAAAGTCTAACTAAATTAACTTGTCATTGTCACGTAAGTTGAAGATTACTTTCTTCTTCGTCATAGCTTCTATTTTAATTATGACGCTAGAGAGGTGTCCGTTTTTAGCTTATAAATGGTACTATTAAATTATTTGTCACGTTAAGATGGTAAATGAATAACACACAACGTTAAAATAGATACACAACTTGAAACATTTTAAATTCAGGCCAATCTATGACCTCTAAAATGTTGACTCTACATGTTTCGACGTTTACCACATCATCATCAGGAGTGAACTTCTAAGACATAAGTATCATATTTATTCCTTCTTAGCTAGGTCATGTGACCTGTGTGTATGTTTGCTATTTCTGCATGAGATATGGTAATAAGGCATTCATGGAGTTTGTATGTTATTTTAACCATCTATACAATTTACCTTTCAAATTGGGAAAAACAATAGTTTGCCTTTTTTATATGTATTGGTAAAAAGGAATCAAGAAGAAGATTTAGAAACATTTATTTAACGGAAACCTTTTTCTGTTCTTATGCCACTACACCAGGAACCATGTCATACTGAAACACAAAAAAAAAATTCTGTGTTTTACACACATGTTCATACAATTTTGAAGATATGTACAAAACAAGAGGACTCAAAAATAAGTTGTTACTAATGGAACATATAGTAGTTGAAAGAGGATTTAATCCAACTATAGCAGGTAGAGCAGTTAAGAAATTCACTAATGTGGTAATAATGGATCAAAGTATTATCTTAAAACCAAGTTATGATCCAATCAGAAAGGAAGGTTTGTTTTGCAATATGTTCCAGGTTTAACTTCTAGTTTTCTTCATTACCCAGTCAAGCCGTCTCCAAACATTTATTAACTACTAGTTTATTCAAAGTGTTTAAAATAACAACAAATATTTTACTCTATATTTAAACCGATGAATAAGATAAAACAAATTTAAGGTAATATACTAAAGATAATATACAGTTAATGGAAAAGATGTATTTATAATATTGAATGGGGAAGTGTTTATATTGGACAGACAAAAAGTAGCATAAAATATTGTTTAGCAAAACATAAAGGACGCGTAGGAAATGAAAGGAATGAAAGTTCGACCATAGCAGAACATGTACATAAAACCAACATAAGATATGATGGGAAAAACAGTAATATTGGCTCAACCAAAAGGTATTCAAGCCAATATTATAGCAAATAAAGTTTAAAAAAGACCATGAATTATTAAATAGAGACGAAGGTCCGGCGAATATCTGTGTAATAATTTGACAGGATCTCCTTTGAGAATTATGCAGAAATAGCAAACATACACACAGGTCACATGACCTAGCTAAGAAGGAATAAATATGATACTTATGTCTTAGAAGTTCACTCCTGATGATGATGTGGTAAACGTCGAAAGATGTGGGGTCCACATTTTGGCGTGAGCTAAAATTGTTTATCTATTTTAACTTTGTATTTATTTATTGTTTTAACATTCTACACAAGTGTCAATGAATTAATATCTATTTGTCACGTGTTATGTATTCTAAATACAGTTTTTCATATCTTTAATTAAAGGTAACATTAATATAGTTTTAGATTCTATTCACAAATTTTAACATATAATAATCTGTGAACAGGAACTTAAACTTGAATTAAAAAACAACAGATTAAAAGCTTAGAAATTCAACATAATGAAACTCGAATTTTATTACTTTTAACATAAAAAATAAAGCAGACGTATTAACAAACATGTAAGAATAATAAGTTGATAAGTACTATAAATGGGAGTTATCATATAGAAACAAACATTCCTTGCAATAAACAAATTCATAATAGCACGTCCCAGCATACAGTATACACATCAGTAGAATCTGAAAGGTTTTAAATTGACACTATATCCGTTATGACCTTCAAAAACTCAGATATAATGTTTTCGTTACACCTAGACAAAACAAACAGGTCGTCAATGCTACTAATCTGTCTATGTGATATTCTAAGAATATAAAATATGCTACTTCTACCGTGAGCTGCCTGTCTCAATCATGGCCTGCACCCACACACACACACACACACTGATAAAATGTGTAATAATCTTGTTCGTTTTTTTGGATAAAGATATATATTTTTTCATTTGATTATAAACAACTATAATTATTACTGGAAAAAACACACAGTGTTACAATTTTCAGCTCTCAATAACTTCACGCACCCCAGTGGCACAGCGGTATGTCTGCGGACTTAAAACGCTAGAAACCGGGTTTCGATACCCGTGACAGATAGTCCATTGTGTAGCTTTGAGCTTAACTTAAACATATACAGTTAACATAAACCTCGTTTTCTGTAGTTCTTATATAGTTTGAAGATTCTTAAACCCTGCGATTTTTCTAATGCTAGTAACATGATACGATCTGATGTGGGAAAAATGGAGAGCACAGCGTAAAATAAATACAACTCTCTTTGTGTTTATACTTTCCTATGTTTACCTACACAAACGCCAAAAGATAGTTGGGAACACGCTACCAGCCGATAATGAGTCTCTGGTCTCCCAGCTGACAGTTGTGTCACTGCAACTTGTCATATCTCCAATGTA